ATTAAATAATAATAAATAATAATATTATTATTGCTGTTTCCAGCACTCCCTGTTACCTGCTGAAACTGTAATGTCTTTGGGACAGGGATTTCCTCTCCCTCTATGCCTTTAAACGATGCACTGCCCACTCAATTCGTAATCTGAGTTGAGGTTTCCGGGCAGCACAAGTGAGCAGCAGCACTGGTACTTGTGTTTTGGAGGCACCATCCCATAATGTCATTTTTCTGTGCGTGAGTATGTTCTTGCACAGAACGTTTACACTCTTGAATTTTACTTTGATTGTTAAAAGCGGAAAGTAGGTATTTCTCTCATAACCATATGTGGAGTGGATGGGGGAATAAATGCTGAGAAATTTATAGATATTCACTAATTTAAGTAGATTCTTGTATGGAAATTAGTGTTTGGAAAACACCTGTTCCTGGCACTACAATAAAGCCAGTGTCAGGAGCTGTCACAGAGTTTTATGGTGATGTGAAAGCAACTACCATTATGGAGCTGCTGCTGCTTTTCACGGTAACGAGAAAGTGATGCCAGTGTGAGCAGCATGTCCCCTTGCACTGTCTGCCACCCTTGAGGGCAGTCCTGGGAATGGGAGTCAGAGGTGTGGAGCACCTTCCTGGGCTGGGCCTTTATCTTGCAAAACAAACAAGGGGCCAGATGCAACTTTGTTCAAAGCATGTGCAGTTCTGCGGCTGATCTGTACTGAAGAGCTGTATTGGTATCTAGGAAGGAAGTTGCTAAGTGAAGTGTAAACATCATGTTGTGAATCAAGTCTTTGTTAGTGTGATTCCAGTTTTTATCCTCGGGTCTCTTTCTCTTTTAGGTTGGATTTATGCAACTCTAACACCTGTAGACTGCCTGGCCTTCGCAGGACATTTTCTACATAGTCTAAGTGTTGAAATGCAGATGAGGTAATCTGTCTTTTAAATCTAAAGTTAGATAGAGGCTCAGTTGTTAATAAATTGGCCATTCTCTCTCCTATTAATTAGTTTACATTTGAAGTAATGTTGATGTAGCTCTATTGGGCAATTTTGGAAAATGTACCCATGTTTGTCCCCTTTGACTGTGTTATCATAGAATCAGTTCCTAACACATTTGGAGTGATTTCTTAGAATCATCAAATGTTGTGAGCTGGGAGGGACCCACAAGGATGATGGAGTCCAACTCCTGTCCCTGCACAAGACAATCCCAACATTCACACCATGTCCCTGAGGGCCTTGGCCAAATGCTGCTGGAATCTTGTCAGGCTTGGTGCCATGAGCACCTCCCTGGGGAGCCTGTTCCAGTGCTCCACCACCCTCTGCCTCAAGAACCTTTTCCTCATGGCCAACCTCACCCTCCCCTGCCACATCTTCCTGCCATTTCCTCTGCTCCTGGCATTCGTTGGTGGCCAGAGAGAAGAGATCAGCGCCTGCCCCTCCTCTTCCCCTTGGGAGGAAGTTCTAGACCCCCATGAGATCTCCTCTCAGTCTCCTCTTCTCCGGGCTGAACAAACCAACTGACTTCAGCCTCTGCTCATATGACTTCACCTCTCAGCCCTTCACCAATTTTATGGCCAAATAGGCCACAAATATGTTCTCCTGTGCTGAGTTATTCCCTGCTGTCTTTACACCTATTGCATAGCACATGGGAGGATACGTGAGGTGCTTGGTCTAACGTGGCCAAGAATAACTGTTAAAACTGTCAGGAGTTTTACCCTACAACACCTTCTGGATAAGCCCCCACCTGCTCAGCTGGGCTCTTTGCCTGATGTAAGACAATAGAAGTAATTCTTTACTGGTGCTGGACAAATAACACAATAAAACTAATCTTACATCTTTACATCTGTATTGGTCAGTTTCTTACTAGTGTTATTTTTATGTTTTGCTTTTTGACTTTTCGTAAGGGCAGGTAATGACAAAACAAGGGGAAATGGGTTTAAGCTGAAAGAGGGGAGGTTTAGATTAGATATTAGGAAGAAGTTCTTCACTGTGAGGGTGGTGAGACACTGGAACAGGTTGCCCAAGGAAGTTGTGGCTGCTCCTCCCTGGAAGTGTTCTCGGCCAGGTTGGATGAGGCTTTGAGCAACCTGGTCTAGTGGAAGGTGTCCCTGCTGCTGGCAGGGGGGTTGGAACTGGATGATCTTTAAGGTCCCTTCCAACCCAAACCAGTCTGGGATTCTATGATTCTATGGTCTGATTCCAGAATACATGGTAGCAGCACAAAGAAATGAAGTACTGCAAAATGAACCTTGGGCATTTATGAGCAGTGCTCAGCACTGCGTGACATCCTGGTGACCTGCTGTGCTTTAAGTTCATGTGGCTTTGTATTTATTGCAGGGCATATGAAGTAGAAAGACGATTGAAAATTGTCAGTCTGACCCAGTTTCCAAACTTTGAAACTGCATGTTGGTATATGGGAAAGCATCTACTAGAGACGTTCAAAGGTAAAACTGCTTTAATTGCTTAGCTTTGGGGGCCTGAAGATAGTTACTCTTCCTTTCTGCTGATGTGCCACATAGAAGATGGACAGGTGGCCAAAATCAATCTTAGTGTTCGAAAACTGCTTTTAACATACCAGCAGAACATGCTGGTCTGGTCCAGCTCTCCTCTTAAGATCCTGCCATCTCGGTCTGGGAAAGACCTTACCTGTCCCTCTTACCTGTGCCTACGGGAAAGTTTCATCTTCTTTTTAAAATGTATCTAAGTTGCCTCAGAAGCAAATACTGTTGTGACATTTCTTTTAGTTTGCAGTCACCTGTCAAGTCTGGGTGCATTCCCTGGTTTAACCTAATGAACTACACACTGTCAGCCCAAGGCAGAGAGCAGTGCTTCCTCCTCCCATCCTTCTGCTGATCCCAGTTGAAGTATGAGGGTGGGTTGGGGCCACAGGAACATCAGAGATGTGGCCAGTAGGAGCCCTGAGAATCAAAGCAAAGTTTTCTGCGAAATTCAAAATCTTCCCAATCAGATTCCTTCAGAGTTGATCCAAACATCCATGCATGCATGTTCTTTCCAGATTTGGTCTCCCTTTGCTTTTACCTCTATTTCTTTTATTACGGAACATGTCTAGAGACACCCATCAGATCCTTTCACGACGAGAAAAATGTGTCTAATTCATAAGCAAGGTGAGGGGTCCCTCTGAATGTCACCTGGAAGGGGGCCCCTTGTCACCAACTCTGAACAAAAACTGGAATGAGTGTAAAAGTTTAGGCAAGCTTGTACTCATGCAGCAGTGGACGCCTCTGCCCAATATAACCTTTGTTTCCACATATCGGTACTTGCTTTTTCAGAATAAAAGAACTGCTGATGGTACCTTTTTATTCCCACAGCCTGGGATGTATGAACATGGAAGCTAGCTTGAGTGTGGAACCAAGAAAGGAACTGGAAGGAGTGCCAGTGTAGACATTACTTACAGGAGCACAGTGTAGGAAGGCTGAGTTGGATTTATGACACAGTAAATATACTCCTTATTACCATCAAATTATAAGAGGGATTCATTTGTGGTGACTAACCTTGAGAGAGTTAACTTTCACAGTGAAACTTTTTAAAATTAAAGACTATACGTGAAACAACTGTAGCTAGCAGTGTTTGAATGGCATTGGTTTTTTCCCTCTATTTAGGTTTGCATAAAGCTGGGCAACAACCTCCTGCTCATTTACTCCAAGGAGCAAAAATTCTCAATGGTGCTTTCAGGTCATGGACTAAAAAACAGGTAGGAGAAGCAGCCTGTTTTAATATTTTGTGTTCCTCAGGTTTGTCACTCACTGGAACAGACAGCAAATGCTAGAACAAATAATATATCCATAGCAAACCAACTAATCCTAAAATCTGAAAGAGAAGGGGAAGGAGGGTGAGAGCTGGGATTTCATAGTGCCACACAAGGAACCGGCAAAAAAAAAAAGGTACCACCAGAGTTTTAAAAAATTCAATTCTGCACACGGCCAAAAGGATACTGGATGAACGTTCTCCCTGGCTCTGAGCATTTTCATGTGCCAAAGCAATTAAGCAGAGGTTGTGTACACGAGTGAGGCCTAAACAAAGCCTGCATTTCTATGTGCACGAGGTGCCCATTTCCTGCAAATCAACACGTTAATTGAGCCAGGCAATACATACTGGTTGGAGAGAAAGCTTAAAGGGATTTACAGCCTGAATTTCCTGCTGCAGTAATTTCAGAAGTGTTATTCTTGCGTGTGTTGCTCCTAAAGTTTTGGGGAATGAGCTGCAGGAGACAGGCCATTCAATCATAAAACGTGAACTGGGGAACTAGCAGCTTTAGGATTTTCAGACATTTTAAGAAGGGATGAGCAGCTGAGCACACAATGTTACACACACAGTTAGGTCAGTTAGGTGGCTGTCCCAGATTTAAATGTAGTCAGGGATTTGGCTGCTCCCTCCTGCAAACCACCAGTGCTTCAGCCTGAATTCAGAATTGCTCCCTGGTTTCCTGTCGCAGGACTGGCTGCTGTGGAACTTGTCTTCTCCATGTCACCCTGTTTATTTTTCCACTTGCCACGCAGATGAGAAGTAGTGAGTCAAGGGAAGTGAGGTTGTGTTGGCATTTAGGAAAAGTTGAACTTTGAGTGTTACAACATGACATGTGAATGCAAATGTTGTTGGTCCTGTCAGGGAGCTCCACAACCACTCTGCTGACAAGGTCTATGCCTGTTATCCTTGTTGAAGACACCAGCCTAAGACAATCTCTCCTTGTAGATGTAGAAAAGGAATTTCTCACAGAATCTCCTATAAGGGGGTGAGCAAAGTGTTGTTACAGTTGTGAAAATGCAATAATAACTGAAAAAGACTATAAGACTATTGACTTTGTTCTCTCAGGACAGCTATTTATAATCACATCCAGAAGGGGGAAAAAGTGTATTTTTATCTTGTTTGCACTACTGGTGCAGTCAGTATTGATTTCAGTACAGAGGAAAAATATGGACATGTCACTTAATGAGTTTTTTTTTATATTTTCACAAAAAACATGCACAGAAACAGTGATCTGGCTTTGTTGTGTTTTAGGCTTTAGCAGAGCATGAAGATGAACTACCAGAAAACTTCAAACCAGCACAACTCATCAAAGACCTTGCCAAAGAAATAAGATTAAGTGAGGTTTGTGCTCTTTTCATAATATTAACTATATTGTGGGTCTGTTAATAATCTAGACTATAAAATGGATGAATTGAAATAAATTAATATTTTTTTCCCACGGTCTTAATTATAAGAGTTCACGTGAGATTTCACAGTAGGGGGACTGCTCAGGACTCTTGTCTGTGTCTGACTCGCCACATGTTCTGGCCTCCCGTTTGCTTTCTCCTCAGCTTTACGCCCTGTCTGCCTGTCCTGTATCCTTTCTCTTCCACTTTCTAGCTGAACTGGCCACACTCCCCTCTCTGTCCTTTTTTTTCTCTTTCAGTTTAGCTACCCCCTACCCAAAAATATGATACAACTCAAAGAGCATTGTTGCCATCCCCATGATCATGCTCCCTATGTAGTATCTTCTTCTCTTTATGTTCATTGGTCTTGTCTATGACATTGTCTGAGCTTGGGACTATTATTCTGTACATTGTCCCAATAGGAAGCCTTGCTCTTGGCTGGCTTCTAGGCAGAGTTACTATAACCAGTGTGATAATAATTATAACAAACCCCCACTTAAAAAAACCAAACCAAACCAACAAAAAAATGAGGTTGCATGGAGGTACCATTCAAGGTGACAATAGCTAGTTCAGTTGTTTTAAGAAGTTGTGTTACATTCCTCTCCCCTTCTAACTATATCCAAAGACCTCAGATTTGAAATCTATCTTGTCCTTTTATCCTCTTTGATGTAGTATTTAAGTTTTCTGATTGTCAGAATAGCAAGTTAAGCAGAAAATAATTTAATTTTAATTAGTCTGAAAGTGTTAATTTTAATTGGGCAGCTATTTTACTGCTTACTTTTCCTGAGGGCATGAAATACAATTCTGCTACATTTATCACATCTGAATTAAATGGGAATGGTTTGTGCTCAAGCTGATTAGCATTTTAAACAAAAAACCATTGGTTTTATACATTTGTTTGTAGGAACAGTCCATTGAACAGTCCTACCTGATGATATAACCTGGTGAGAGTTACATTCCTTAGGAAGCCACTGGAGTTTCTCCAGGCCAAACTTGTGCTTAAGCAATGTTGAGGTGGGAATTAGTGGTGTGCAGAACGTTCCTGTGGCATGTGATGTGGTCTTCACTCCCTGGCCAGCCTGGCCTGGGAATGCAGCTACCGCGTTATTGAAAGGAGATCTTTGGGGTCTGTTACCCCAGGGAAGGGAGGGTGCAGGGGAGTATCTGCTGTGAGACAGGTGGGTCTGAATGCCTTCCCATTTTGTGCTAAACTACAGAATGCTTCAAAAGCCAGCAAAGCAGACACGAGTGCCAACACAAATGCCGAGGAGATCTGTCCTGTGGAGAAGGAAGAGGCACCATCACCCGTCCAAGTCACTCCTCCGCCCCCACCTGTAGAAAAGGTCCCGAAAAAAAAGACTCCCAAAACTGTGAAAACCCCCAAACAACTCAAGCCATCCAAACCCCCCAAACCTCCCAAGCCACCCAAACCCCCTAAGCCTCCCAAAATACCAAAAGTTAAGGGAGAAGGAAAAAAGAAAGGGAAAAAGGCAAAAGAGAGTCCACCACCAGCCATCCCAAATCTCGACTTGCTGGAGGCACACACCAAGGAGGCTTTGACAAAGATCGAGACGCCAAAGAAGGGGAAGGTGGGTCATGTTTTAACCTCTCTCCCTGTTCTCTCGCCATAATAGGGATCACTCCTTAGGTCTCAAGAAACACGGTGTAAAACCCTGTCTTCACTGAAGTAAATGTAAGTTTTGTCCATGCTAGCTTATCGCCCTTTTTTACCTGATGTTGAATTTGATTTGACTGTTTGCTTGGTTATTCATTTGATATGGAGCCTCCAAGAAACCTATTGAGTTTGGCAAACTACTGCCAGTTCCCTGCCAAAACTGAGGTGAGATGAAAATTAAAAGACATTTTTAAGTGGCTTTTTTTTTTTTTCCCTTGAACTATTATATTATTTCAAATGTTATTAGCACTCTTATGTGCATTTCCATACTAGATTATCAAAGATGAAGCAACTCATTTCTAAAGCATCTTATTTGCATGAGATTTTGCTCTAGAATGAGCGAATGAACATAAAACAATAGTTTGCTTCAATTTTTGCCCATGAAGGATGAGTTTCATTTTGATGTCCTTTAATTCAACATGAATTTTGCTGCTGACTTCAGTAGGGGCCAGGATTTCACTGAGGCACTGACAGAGTGATGTGTTGTACACTGTTTGTTAAGAACTATCCATAAATCTTTTCTAAAATGCTTTTGAATTTCCTAGTAGCTTGTATGCAGTTTGCAAAACCTGTCCATGGAGCAATAGTCAGGGAGATGAGTATGTTTTTACAGTCACCTTGTATGTTGATAGATCAAGGAGAAATGCAGTTAGTCTTCTGCATTCTCTGAAGCAGCAGTATTTGATTGAATCTCCTTGTGTTTGGATTCAAAAGGAATGAATCAAAAGAGGAGTTTTCAAAAATATATCATGTTATGTTCCAGATAAAACATGTGTTTCTGTAACATGCCAGCACTCCCTCCTCACTAAGAGTACATGCTGACTTTTTTCCTCAGGTTGCAAAGAATGTTTTAAGTGTTCCCAATAAGGAGACTGCTGGTAAGCAGAATGAGGTGGAGAAATTTGAAGTTCGAGAGCAAAATAAAAGCAAAACAGAAGCCAAATGGAAATACAAGGTAATGTCTCCTGTTAAATTCTGCTGCTGATTCTGCCACATAGGGATAAGTCAAGGGTAGAGAAATGTGCACAGGTCTACCTAAGCAGAGAGTACAAGGCACCAATTTTCAGTTCCCAAAGGGAAAATTTTGAGCAGAAAATAATCAAGTGATCATTGATAAAGGAGAGGGGGCAGATTCTTCAAAAGCACGTGCTGAATTGTCCATCTTCCTCCTTGTTGAAGCCAGTGGGAACACTGCTAGTAATGAGATTTTTCAGTGCTGATCTCTTCTGTGATTCTCACTTTAACACTGTCGTGCTACTTTAAGTCTGGAGTAGTTCCAGAGGAATCAATAACTAATGACAACATAAAAGTAGAGTTAATGAAATTTGAATTATGCCACATGAATTAAAAGCTTGCCTTCCTGGAGGGCTAGTGTAGAGTGAGTAAAATTCATTCATAGAATAATAAGACATTTTTTTTCCCTCCAGGTACCATTTCAAACAAGGTGGCGCTAGGCTTTCTCACAGAAATATCTGTCTGAATTTTGCCTGCTTTGTGAAAGCAAATTCCCCAAAACCAAACAAAATGACATGCTTTTTCACGTGGGGAAACTACTAAGAATCATGAGTCATTAACATTAGAGACACTTGATTTTTTTTTCTGTTAAAAAGTCACAGATAACGTGTTTAGATCAATATGTACCAATTAATTCTGCAGCCAGTACAGCTTAGGAAAGTATTAAGGTGATGCTTAAAAAATAATCAAAGGTTTCTTTGCACTGATTGACTTTGTTATTAAATTATTACATTCATAATTCAAGCTCTTCTGAAGGTGTGAAAGAAGCAAGTGGAGCCTCGGCATACAATGCAGGCGCTGTGCTGGATTCTGTCTGTAGCCACACAGGCACAATGCTGACGAGCGGTGTGTTTAGCTGTGCTCTGATTCACTAAATGTGTGTTTAGTGTTTTACATCAGTCTGTACCCATTTAAGAGAGCAGGATTTAAATTTGGCATGGTGTTTGTGGCAGGTGTTGCTTAAACTATTGCTGAAGTGCTGCTTGATGGGGACAAGTCCCTGAACTAAAACCTGTGGAATCTTAAGGAAGAATATAATCCTCTATTCCTTACCACATTTGGGGGAACACATTTTTCTCTGCATATAGATCAATGGATTCTCTGAGGTTACCTAGGAATCTGCATATCAACAACTCATTCAGCTGCTTTTATTGTTTTTGTTTTGGGTCTTTTGCCTTTCAGAACAGTAAACCTGATTCACTTCTTAAAATGGAAGAGGAACACAAGTCGGAAAAGACGCCTTTATCAGGAAATAAGGACAACAAATTTACATTCTCTTTCTCTAATAAGAAGTTGCTTGGGTGAGTAAAAAATATGACAATACACATCAATTTAAAAAAAGCAGATTTCAAAGTATTGTCATTGTTTATGCTTTTTTATACAAGAAGGTGAAAATCTGCCTTTCTGGTCAATGTAGAAAATAACACTTACACAAAACATTCTTCACTCTAGAACTTGATTTTACCCAGAACCCAGCATGGCTGGCCATAACAGCAACAACCTGTCCTTGTGGCTGGTAGTTTGCTTGAGAATAGTGTCTTTAGTATTCAGGCAGTGTCTCACGTTTTGGCACTCAGGTTCTTGAGTTATATATAAGTGGTTTTTGTGCAGATCCTACTCAAGGTACATTTTTAAGAAACTGTTAAATGAACTCTGTGTACCGACATTCCACGCTGCCTGTGCATTGTGCGTATCCTGATATACCCTGAGACAGCTTTAAATAATACATTGCTTATTTGAAGCCAGCCAAGGCTACTCTAGTTGGCATCATATTTTGAGACAAATTATAGGTACAAAAATGTGTTTGTAAAATTATTTTGATTCCTGTGGCACCTCTGAAAGTATTCAAGTTGGCTGAGATCCTCATTCTGTTCCTCTCTGTCAATTTGCAAAATGTTTTCCAGTCAGGGTATTGTTACTGATTCATAATTTTCTTTTTTTCAGTTCAAAGGGAGTCAAAACCCAGCTGAATACTAGTGTGTTTGGGTCGCTGCAGAATTTTAAAGAAGATAAAGCAAAACCTGTACGAGATGAATATGAGTATGTGTCAGATGATGGTGAACTAAAAATTGATGAGTTTCCAATCAGAAGGAAGAAAAACACTACAAAAAGAGAACTGCCCTGTAAGAATATTTCCTATTTTGTCTGTATCTGCACAATGAAGTCTTATGTATTGACTGGCCAAAATAAGTCATTAAAATCTCTGTGGTTTATAATAAAGCAAACCGTGTTTTATCTGTCAGTCAAATCTAAGTGAATTTGAATTGCTTCAGAGGTTATGTCTTAGGAGTGCTATCTTTTGTAAGGAAAAGAATCCTGACTTTGTTGTTGTTTTGTTTGTTGGGTTTTTTTTCAGTTTTATCAGATAAAAAAGACACTCTGCAGCACACTCCTGTTAAGAAGCCAAAGGTGGAGTCGGTATCATACAAGGTACGGTGATTATTGTATCTGTCACATGCAAGCGCCCATTGTATGTCTCTAACAGTATGTGGGGCAGCTCTGCAATGGCCAGCAAAGCCTTCTCACAGGCTGTTGTCACATCCTCTCCTTCCTCCTGCAGTCATAGTCTGCCCAGAATAGGGAGCATTCAGACATCCCAAGGACTAAGTGTAATTTGGTACCCTGGCTTGAACGCCTTCTATGTGATCAGGCCTGATGGGAAGCGTGTGTAGGGACTGTGACAGTTGTACAACACCACAAGAGCGGGAGCAACCCATAAGAAGGGATGGGAAGGATCAGAAGGAGTTTTCTGTCATACCTGGCTTGATGTCACATTGCTGACGGGGTCTGTCCCAAGCTGTGCACCCAACCTGTGTCTGTCCCCAGCTCTCCATGTGCTTTGAACACTGGTTGTTAAATTTCCACGTTCACGTTTGACAGATAAAACTCGGAGTAATGCTCATACAATGGAACTCATGTCAGTTGGCGTTTCACGTTACTAGAAGCCCTTAATACCTATCATGTAGCAATTAAAGGTTTGGATTGCTGTCACTTAGCAAAATCTCTCTCTGCCCATTATGGATTTACATCTAGAATGCCTTTGACTCAGCATGATACTTTAGCCTGTCCCTAACTTGAGGCAGTGTCTGTGTGCCTGTTGACAGCTTACCTTGAGGAGGCTGAGCAGCCCAGGCTTCACTTTGCTTTGTGTTAGCATTGCAGGTCAATGCTGGAATTTAAATGACATTAAAATTAAATGTTTTGCCCAACTGTGTTTAATACAAATTCGTATTATAATATCTGAGAGAGTTAGAAAAAGCAAAATAGCTTGTTAACACAGAACTGTAGGTAACTGAAATGTTTGGCCCTAAGAACAAAGGAATCTTTTTCATCCTGGTTTGGCTCAGGGATATTCAAGAGCAAGGGCAGACCTCCTTGCCTCCATCAGTAGTTGACATCTGGAGACCAGTGCACAGGGAACAGGGCAAAACGTGCTGGTATCTCACCATGCAGAAGCTGAAGGATAAAGGCCAGGTCCTGGAAAGAACAGTGATTGGCAGTCTGAGCAATGAGGACTGGGGCTTTAGAGTCCTGAAAGCAGGGCAGGAGTAGGGAACCACAGTGCATCGAGATATCAGCCCCAGAAAGATAGTTAGATGCAGATAGCTTCCTTCTGTGGCCTCAGGTGCTGCTGTTTATGTGTGTCTGTCCCATTCCTCTGCCAGATCTTCCTGTTCTCTTGCAGTGGGGATGGCAGAAGTGTGTCCGTCCCTGTGTCTGAATTAGCTGTGTTAATGTCTTGCAAGATACAGACTCTGATGCCCATCTGGGCTGCCAGAGATATGGCCACTTCTTTTGCTACATGGGTCATGGGCTCAAGCACAGGAGCAGGGGCTGAGAAGGCAACACAGCACCTGGAAACACCACTCTTCCAGTGGTTTGATCCCATGTGCAGGATAAGATCTTAAAGCTGGTTCTCCAGGGTTGGAAGGGGAAAGAAAAACTTACCATTCCTACAAGGAAACAGACTTTTACTGTGTACCCATTTGGGGTTTTTGGGGGTTTTTTTGGTTTTTTTTCTTTAATGAAAGCAAATTACAAATGCTAGCCCTGTGTCTTTGGAGGAGCAGCAGGCTGCTAAAATTATTGTGTTGTTCTTGTTGATTAACTTAGTGAGTTTCTGGGTTTTTTGAGCCATTTCCTTGTTTTTGCAGAATGATGACTCATCAGATGAAGATTTGCTTCACATTGACACAGAGGCGAAGCCAGGACGCAATTCCAAAGTAAAGAAAGAGAGTGGAATTTTTGATCTTTTGCAGGCAAGCAAGGAAGTTGGAGGTTTAGAGTATAACACCAACAGGTATGCACCAAGGGATGTTTTTTCCTCCTTCCCAAAAAAGCTCTTTTGTGGTTGTGTGTGTGAGTGAGAGGAGAGAATGAATTTTGCAGCAGCTCAGTAACTCCATTTTCTTCAGTAAGCAAATTCTTCCTTTATCCTCTGATCTGGAGGGAGGTGGGAAAGTGTTCAGGAAAGATTTTGGTGGTATGGTTTAATCAAGTAGAGGCATTTCACGTCTGTAAATGCTGAACATCCATTTTAGCAATAATACTGTAATAGATGAATCATTCAAAAGGAAGAGAGAGCTCAGTGAATGCAGCTTGAGGGCATGAATGAGCTTTGTTAATGTAGCAATAATGCAATAAAGGAATCTAAATGATTTCCATAATGTATTGTAAGGTGACATGCATATGAATACTAAACGTTTGAAAGAAGAAAATAGGAAACCATCTCCCCTCCTGCACACCCCTGGTCATCGTTCTTCTCCCCACCAAAACATGTGACTTGGAAAAAAACAAACTCTTTCATGGTTCCTTCTATACCTAAAATGGAAGTGCTTGCCTGGCCTTGGTTGTGTTGCATATAGGACCACTGCAGGTGGACACTGAAGATGACACTGGATGTTTTGGAAGATGGTTAATAAGGCACAGCTCTAGATCTTTTAGTAATCCAAAATGCAAAACTGGAAAATACGGTTGCCAGACTCAAACGCTGCAGTTCAGGACCATCTGGAACAAGGGTTTGTTTGGGCCCGTCTCAAAACGAATGTATGGGTTCATTACCTCCTCTCTCTACAGACCACATCTGATCTTCAACTACGGATAGAGCAATTAGGTAACAGAAGGACACGTGTCATTTTGAAAGAAGCTAGTGGGACTCTTCACATAGGCCTTGCTTAACCCAGACCTCAGGAACAAATCCCTGAGAAGGGACTTAGGGAACGGCAACTAAATTTATGGTTTCCATGCATAGAATGGCACTGCAGACCTGAACTGCTGCGCCTTATGCCCTGTGCTCCCTTGTAGTCTGCTGAGTGAGTAGATCTTTGCTACTGCAGTCTTAATGGACTTAATGTCCCCTGTCTGTAGAAAACCAGAGGTATTCACCTCAGTGCGCTTCACTGCTCCACAGGGACCGCAGCCGTGGTGCTTTTGAAAGCTGTGGGCTGTTGGTAGATTGCTGGCACAAGTTTCTAGCCTCTAAATATGCCTGTTGTGCAAACAAAGAATTGTCCTCTGGAAGCTGAGAGTGGCAGGGCAGGTGGTGATGTGGGAAATGATGTGAAATGTGCGGTAAGGCTGTTCTTGTTTGGCTTTTTAATAAGCCAGTTCTATAAGCTCTCATAAGGCCCCACCTGGAGTACTGCC